CCTCCACCAGCTCAGCGTCGGCCTCCCGCGCAGCCGTGGAGGAGGAGGTCTGCGTGTGCGGCACCTGCAGCTCGCCCAGCGCAGCCTTGCACTCGCCCCAGGTCCAGGCCGGCTCCTCGGCGAGCCGCTGCGCTGCACACCCCTCCCCGATTTGCTCCGGGGCTCGCTCCGAGGCACCGGTCTGCCCCTCCGGCTGCCCACCAGCCTCGTCCCTCGCATCCGTGCCCCGCGGCGGCTCCAAGCACTGCGCCCGCAACCGCTCCAGCTCGCGTTGGAGAGCGTTGTAGAGGCTGGCGGGCACAAAGTCCCCCGGGGTGGACGGGTTGCTCTCGTCCCGCTCGTAGTTCTCCAGCACCTGCCGAGGAGACGGTGAGGCCACCGGGGGCCAGGGGACGGAGGCAGGGAGGGACAGACGGACAGACGGGGACTTGCCTGTATTTTCTCCCTCAGCTCCTTGTTCTGCACGGTGAGGGACTGCACCTGCCCCTGCAGCGTAGCCAGCAGCTCCTCGGCCGAGGGGCTCAGTGTCTTCTTGGAGAGCAGCAGCTCTGCCCCTGCGGGGCGCAGGGACTCCGGTGCCATGCCCGCCCATGCCCCCGCTCCCTGCCGCGGGGTGCCACCTCCCCGAGGGCTGTCCAGCCCCGCGGGGGCTTTGGGTGAGCAGGCAGGGCCCTACCTGGGAACTCAAGCGGCTCTCCCTCCTCGTCCTGCAGTGTCTCAATGTCATAGCTCGTGTTCTCCTTCTCGTTCTGGGGGTGCAGAGTGGCAGGCGTCAGCCCCCGTGCACCCCGGCCCCTGGCGCTGCCAGCTGCTACCTGCTACCTGCACCTACCTCCAGTGAGGACAAGCGGCTCAACAGAGCCTCCACCTCCTTGCCCAGACGCTCCTTCTCACCATCCCGCACCGCCAGCCGCTCCTCCAGCTCCTGGATCTGTGAGGCAGGACACGGGCATGGGGTCCCCTTCGCTCCCACCAGAGTCCTGACAGCATCCCCAGCACCAGGACCCCTCAGAGAGCCGCGGCCACCCATGACCTCTTCGCCAGCCTCACCTGCTTCTCCATGGAGCGCAGGGAGCCCTTGTCCAGCTCTGCCCGCTGGGAGAGAAAACAGGGAGGGATAAATGCTGTCCCCATCTCTCCCATCCCCTTCACTCCCTAGGGATGTGGTGGCATCTCCCCCACGACCCTGCGGTTCGCTGATACCTCCCGTCTCTGCTTCTCCTGCTGCTCCAAGCCCCGGATCTTCTGCAAGAACTGGGCCCGCTCCTGCCGCAGCCGTACAATCTCCTCGTAGGCGTCCCGGTCCTCCTGCAGATGAGCGGCCGCCAAGCATCAGTGCCGGGCACTGCCAGCCCCCTCCCCGCTGTCGGCCCCCTCCTGCCCATCCTCAGCAGGGGGGCTGTGGCAGGCTGAGCCCAGCCAGGCTCCAGGCACCACGTGCCCCCATGGGCGAGCCACGGTCTGGGGTATGCAGGGTGCTTTTTGACAGCAGAGAGAGAAGGAAAGACTCCGGCAGGGCATGGACCCCCCAACGCCAGCACAGCCCCCCGGGAGAGGGGTGTTTTGGGCCTGCGGGGTGGAGAGAAAGAGGCTGATAGCTCCCGCCCTGCCAACAGCAGGGGCTCGGGGCCTGGGGTGCTGCATGCACCCCGGGAGTGGGGACGAAGCCTCTGTTGCAGCTCAGGCCAGCCCCTGAGCATCACCCACGCTGCAGGGAGGAGGGCCCCCGCACAGCCCCTGGCACGGGCAAAGCTGGAGAAGTTTGCCTGAGCAGGCCATGGTTCAGCTACCCTGCGCCTGCCAAGCCGGGTGCAGACGTGGAGCTAAGGGGGACCCCTCTCTCACCTGGCTGGGGGTGCCCAGGGGAGGCAGAGGGGCTTTCCTCTTCCTCGGGGTGCTGTTCTTCTCCCTGATGGATGACTGGCTGGGCGAAGACGTCTGCGGAGATACCAGGGCAGAGGGGACATCACATCTAAAGTGGCCTCCCTCCTTCCTGACCCGTCGTCACCTTAGAGAGCCCTAGGGCTCCTGGGGACCCCCACCCAGGGGCTGGGGCCAGCCCTGACAAGAGGTGGGCAGCCAGGCAGGCCCTTACCTGGGACGTCTGCTCAGTTGACTCCTCTTCTGCGGGGCAGAGCGGGAGGAAAGAGAAATTGGGGAGGTTTAGGGGATTGTAGGGGTGGGCACAGCAGGCAGAGCCCACCTGGGTGCAGGGGCACCTCTGAATGTGCTCATACAGGGGTGGGCACTCAGGGGGTACACACACATGTGTACGCAGGGGGGCATTGCTCATACAGGGGTGGGCACTCAGGGGGTACACACACACGTGTACGCAGGGGGGCACGTGTGCGTACAAGGGGCACACACGCAGACAGACAAATACGGGGATATACGTGGATGTGTAATTGCAGGGATGCACACACGTGCGCAGGCACGGGGAGACACATGCACGCAGTCATGCACACGCAGACACATGTACAAACACACTTGCTGATAGGGGTGGGCACTCAGGGGGTACACACACACGTGTACGCAGGGGGGCACGTGTGCGTACAAGGGGCACACACGCAGACAGACAAATACGGGGATATACGTGGATGTGTAATTGCAGGGATGCACACACGTGCGCAGGCACGGGGAGACACATGCACGCAGTCATGCACACGCAGACACATGTACAAACACACTTGCTGATACACACGTGCACTTATACCCCCATGCTTGCAAACACGTGTGAACATGTGTGTGCAAGCATGTTCAGACACTGAGACGGGCAACTGAGGCTCAGCACCACCTCCCAGCCCTCGGCTGGTGACAGCATGGGCAAAGGCACCCTCAGCGCGTGGGAAAAGGGGGCATGTGCCCCCCAGCCTCGCTCAGCCTCTTCCAGCCATGGGTTAGACATCCCTGCCCCAAAGCACCCTGCAGGGTGACGACACCCCCGTGGGTCCATGCCCTGCGGACAAGGGGCACCAGGGCGGCACGGCCGCCTTACCGCTGGCCCAGGACTGGCGCTGAGCAGCCTCTTGCAGGAAGTGCTGGATGAGAGCGTTGCCCGTGGCCAGGCTGTAATGCGCGGCATCGTGACCTGTGGAGTCCACCACGGCCACCCGGGCACCGGCGTTGACAAGCACCTCCACCGTCTCCACGCTGCCGTTCTCGCAGGCCAGCATCAAGGCTGTCCTGAGCAGAGTGGTGAGAGGCGAGGCGAGGGGGCCCATTCCCCCCATCCCCCCATCCGCCCCCAGTCACCGCCAGTGCAGACTCAACTCCCCTGCAGGTAGGGGAGGGGGCCCATTCCCCCCATCATCCGCCCCCAGTCACCGCAAGTGCAGACTCACCTCCCCTGCAGGTCCCGGCTTTTACAGCCCGCGCCGCGGGGCAGCAGGTGCCGGTTTTTTTCCGCCAGTGCAGACTCACCTCCCCTGCAGGTCCCGGCTGTTGACAGCCGCGCCGCGGTGCAGCAGGTACCGGCACAGCTCTGAGTGGCTCATCTTAGCAGCAAGGATCAGCGGTGTGGAGCCATCCTGGGCAAGGTCAGGTTGGGTGAGGCTGCGCAGACGAGGCTCAGATCCCCCCATGGGGCACCCCGCTCCCGTTATCTCCCAGATTTCCACGTCCCACTTCATGGTATGTTTTCACCCCAGGAACCCCAGGTGCTGCCAGCTGCTGTGTTCCACCCCAGAAGCTCCTGCATTTCAGAGGCAGCCCCAGCCCGGCCCCTTGCTGCTCTGCACAGCATTGAGGGCGAGGAGCAGAGGGATCTCACCTTGTCCTTGATGTTCAAGGGAGCCTTAAAATCACAGAGGATCTCCGAGCACGAGATGCAGCCGCTGACCGCTGGGGAGAAGGACAGAGGCTGAGCACTCTGCCTCCCACGGGGACATGAGCAGGACGGGGCTGGCACTGTCCCCACTCACCTGCGTGGTGCAGCGCTGTTTGGCCGCTGCCGTCGGCTACGTCCACAGGGCAGGAGGCCTGAGGGAGAGAGCCTGGGTTACAGGAGGACGGGGGACAGACAGACAGACTGCTCCAGTGGACGTGGCTCCTTGGCATGGCGGAGGGCCGAGCAGGTGCCGGGCAGCACCACACAGCGCCGGGCAGAGCTGGGAACCACCATGCCAGCCAACACCACTGGTGAGGGAAGGGAGTTCAAGGACAGAGAGGACACCTCGCTGGCACAGCACCCTCCCTCCCTCGCAGCACCATGCTCCCAGCCCCGGTACCTGCAACAGCTTGCTGACGCACTGTGGGTGGCCATGCTTGGACGCCAGGTGCAGGGCAGTGTAACCTGGGGAGAGGGACAGACGGACACGTCAGAGAACAGACAATGGGTCTGCGGCAGAGGGGACCAGTTGGGTGACAGACGGACGGATGGGTACACAGGAGGATCTGCTGGACTGGGGCTGAATGGGAATGGAGGAGCACCATCGGTCAGTGCTTGAGTCCCCGTAGGAAGCTGGGACAATTTACAGCCCCCAGAGGTGTGGCCATCACCTCCGTCCCCTCAGCCTCAATACCCGCGGCAGGGTGGGAACAACCAGGGAGCGTTGGTGGCCCCAGGTGGTCCATGGCGTTAGCCAGGGGCGCGTGGCAGCCATGCCCTCACCCGAGCTATCCTTGGTCATGGCATCCACGCCGTGAGCCAGCATGGCTTCGAGGCAGTCCACGTTTCCCCGCATGGCGGCCAGGTGGAACCTGCAGCAAGACCGGGGGCTGTCGAACTCACATCCCCGGCCCCTGGCCTTGTCCCCAGCCCTGCATCCCCGGTGTCCCAGGGTCGTGGGTCAGCACTTACGCGGATTTGCCCTCCGAGTCCAGCTTGGTGGGGACCAGGCCCTTGCGGACGAGGAGAGATGTCACCCTCCCGGCATCATTGTAGTCCACAGCTTGCAGGAGCTTCTCATCGCTCTTGGTCCAGTCCTGGCTCTGCAATGAAGCCAAGAGGAGGCTGTGGTGGGTGTGCCGTCCCCAGAGACGGGCAGGGTGCTAGGCTGGGCTCGGGTGCCTGTCCTCATCCCCATCCCTGCTATCTTCCACCCATCCCTATCCCCTTGGGGTGGCCATCTCTGGGCCAATCCCTTTCCCGGGTGCTGTGGTATCTTGCCCCCAGGTATGGAAGGTTTAGCTGG